TATCAACAGCTGCAGTCTGGTGTTGAAGTTTATAGGAAAAGAAAAGGTGATAAGTTTCTGGAGAAGAGTGTTATAACAAAAGAGCCTTGGATAACTAAGCAAAGCGCAGTGTGTTCTCTTGTTTTTTCCCAAGCTGTGCTACCCCTCCTCAACAGTTTACTTTTTGAAATAGCTATTTGGATTTTTAGTTCTTTGGAACTTGTCTTTGCTTTTTTTTTTTCCTTTGGAAGTTAAATTTTTACATTTGCTTTTTATTTTAAAAGAAAAGTTTTAGTATTAATGATTCCCTTCCTTTTCTTTTTAAGGGAGTAGCCTTTTTTTCTTTTTCTCTTTCTGCCTTTCTGGTACTTTTGTTTTTCCATCTACCTCCAGTACTGTTTTTTTCTTTCTTTTTATCTTCCTGGCTTTTTCTCTCTCTCTCTTATGCAGCCTTTTATATTTGAGACCTCTTAATTGGATTAAGGTGTTGAAGAACCTGAAGAATTTTTCCTTTTTTTAAAAAAGCTTTTTATTCCTCACTTTTCCGTCTTTTTTTACAACTTTTTCTCTTTTGTGTATGTTTATGGTTTTTTCCTTCATTTTTGAACTTTCATTGTTATCTAACTAATCGATTGGATTAAGGTATACAAGAACCTGAAGAAATTCTTTTTTCTTTTTTTATTATTATTACTATTTGGCTTCTTTTTCCCTACTATTTTTATTTGGAATCGCAATTGGTTATTTCACAATTGGATTAAGGTCTAGAAGAACCTGAAGATTTTGAATTGTTTGAAATGAGTAGGAAATTAACAGCTCCTGGTTCTTCAACTTCTACTTCCTCCTCTCCACCATCTGGAGGACAACGTTCAATACAGACAATGTTAAGGCAAGAGAAAGAACAAGAAAAAGAAAAAGTGACCCTGAAGATGATTATGCAAGGAATTCAAAACATTCAAACAAGATCAGAGAATATTGAAAAGAGAATAGAGAACATTGAACAAAGAATAGAGAACATTGAGCAAAGAACAGGGAAAACTGATGAAAAAGTCGAGAACATCCAACAAATGATGATGAAGTATGATGAGAGACTACTAAAAATTGAAGAAGATAAACAAAGAGATAAGAAGATTGAAGAGATTGATAACAGATTAACTGTGGTTGGACAAGATAAAAGTGGTATGCTGAGATGGGAGATGGACAGATCAGAATTTTATCTTAGATTCCAAAACAGAGGAAGAAAAAGGACAAAATCTAGCTGAGATAATGATAGAAATATTGGCTGAAGCTTTGGAAATAACTGAAGAGAAGATGATGGATGGAATAGATGAGGTCTATTGAGTCTTCACAAGATACGCAATGAGAAATAGCCTACCAAGAGAAGTTCACATCAGATTTACAAAGAAAGCCATTAAAAAAGCAAATATTGCAAGTGGCAAGAGAGAAAACATTGAAATATAAAGATAAGGAGATTGTGGTTTTGAAACAAATACCCAGAAGAGTAAGAGAGATGAGAAGAGAATACCGATTCTTGACCAAATTGCTACTTTAAAAAAGAGGTGAATTATAGATGGCTGATTCCAGGAGGTTTAATGTTCACATGTCAAGAACAGAGATACAGAATTGATTCAATTGAGAAAGCTGAATCATTTTATACAGAATTTTTCAGAGGGAAAGAGGAAGAGGCAGAAAAAGAAATTTAACTAATTGAATTCCAAGAGGACTGCCAAATGACGACTGAAAAAGAGGAAGGTGCAATAGGTGGAAAGGAGGAAGCCAAAGAACAACGTGAACCAAGATCCACAAGAGCTGCCAAACCTAATTATAAAATATAACCATGGAAGAGAAAAAAATGATTACAATTAATGTAAATGGACTTAATTCAGCTGTTAAAAGAAGGAAAACTTTCCATAAATTAGAGAAATTAAAATTTGATATAATCTGCCTACAAGAAGTACATATTAAAAAGCAATATGAACAATTGTTGATACAGCCAAAACTAGGGAAAAAATTTACCTCCTTGACACAATGCAAGAAAAGAGGAGTGGTTTTATATATTAAAGAGACCATTCCAGCGAAATTGATTTATATTGATGACGATGGAAGAATACTAATGGTGGAAATAATGGATAATAATACGAAAACACTCCTGATTGCAATCTATGCCCCAAATGACAAACAAGAAGAATTTTATAAAAAATTACATATGAAAATAATTGAACTGGACTATGCTAATATAGTTATGATGGGAGATTTTAATGGAATTGTAGACAACAAACTGGACTATACAGCACAGAAAACAATAAAGCAAAACAGAAAGACTCTCCCTAAATCTTTTTTTAAAATGGTAGATGAAATAAACTTAAAAGATACATGGAGAGAAAGAAATGCTAGAACAATACACCTTCTACTCAAATAGACACTTATCATGGTCCAGAATTGATATGATATGGATGTTAACAGAATTGTTAACTAATATTCAAGAAATACATATTGAAACAAGTACTTGGGCAGATGACAATCCAATGACAATTAAGTGGAAAGGACAAAGAAGAAGATCTAGATGGATGTTAAATAATACTATTTTAAAGGAAAAAGATAAGCCTTGGGTTTATTGCATGTTTTTTTAATATATTCTGAAGTACTTCATTTGTTTTTATATTTTGAATCAATAAATGTTTTATAGAACTGATTCTGCTTTAAACTTTCCTAATTGGCTTATCCCCTAAATGGTGCATTTTTCAACAGCTCCCATATTCATGTGCTGTCCCACAGACCTTCATTAACGCAAATTCTAATTGCAAAACTGGCCAGGCATTAGGAATGGAAGTTCCAGGAATTGAAATTGCCTTACCTGACACAGAATGATTCAAGAACTAGATGCTCTCTTTTTATCCCTAAAAGTCATTATAACATGATATAGGATGTGGTGTGATATGATAAATATATTTATTTATAACATACAATATAGTATAATAAGGTGCAGTGGTCTAGTTAAGACACTGGGCTTGTCGATTAGGTTGGCAGTTTGAGACCTAGGGTACTGCATGATGAGGTGAGCACCCGTTGCTGCCCCAGCTTCTACCAACCTAGTAGCAAAATGCAAGTAGATAAATAGGTACCATTTTGGTGGGAAGGTAAGAGTGTTTCATGCACTTTGGCATATAGTCATGTCAGCTACATGATCATGGAAATGTCTTTGGACAATGCTTGGCTCTCTCAGCTCAGAAACGGAATCCAGCACCGCCCCCTAGAGTTGGACACAACTGGGCAGAGGAAACCTTTAATAATGTCATATCATACTTTCATAAAATATCACATAAATTACATATCATATATCAATCTTATATAATATATACAAACCAAATCCTTTAATAAGATTCTGGCTTTTGTCTGCTGCATACATAAATACAACCCTATATGTTTCATTAGAAATTGGTTCTGTGAGCTTATAACCAAACGTAGGTAAGATTTCAGAATGGAACCCTCAATCCTCTCTTAGGCAACATTACCAAGGGTCAAATTTCAGAAGAGATTACAAGACTCTACGTAGTTTTGATATGCCATAGCTAAAGGGAAGCACCTATGTTTTGTCTGCAGTCCCAGGACCAATTCAAGTAGGCTAGCACATATTCTTTCCTGAAATCCTGCCATGCTGTCTTGACGATATTCTACTACATGCATCTTTCTAACATACGAAACATGCTGGCATGCCACAAATCAGGAAAAAAAATATCTCTTAGTTACTGTCCTGGGAAATTTCACTATATTGAAGCAGTGGTCATAGTATCTTCTTCCTGTTGCTGGGTAAAAATAAAACTAATAATGTTGAAAGATAAGTAAAAATATTTATTTCTGAAGACTGTAAAATATTTAAATTCAAGTAAATAAAATGTTTAAATTATGTTTAAACATTTAAATATAATTTAAAAGTGAATACATATGCATTGTCCCGTGTTCAGCATTTGGATCTACAAGGATGTATTCCTTCTCACATGTACACAGCCATTTTTTGCTCCTGGGAGAGAAAAGCCCCAAATCTCTAGTTGAATACTAGCAATAGCAATAGCACTTAGACTTATATATCGCTTTACAGTGCTTTACAGCCCTTTCTAAGTGGTTTACAGAGTCAGCCTATTGCCCCCAACAATTTGGGTCCTCGTTTTACTTACCTTGGAAGGATGGAAGACTGAGTCAACCTTAACGCTGACCTTAAGATTAAGCAAAATGACGCAAATGTACAAACTTTTGAGATTTCCACCACTGTTGCAAATGTAAGAAATAAGGGAAAAAAGTGAAAAAGTTTTTTTTTTTTAAAAAAAAGGCCAGTTCTTAATAATGAAACCTACAATTTCAAATTCATCTAAGAAGGGCAACTGGAGAAGTCAACACGTGGATAACTATTTAATAGTTACAGAGGTTAATCAAACCTAAGCAGTACTGAACAAATAAAATGTGTCTAAATAAAATAAATACGACGTGTCTTGCCAAACCGACAAAGACATTTCCTTGAGTGACAGAAGGTAGGAGTATAAAGAAATAGAGTCTTCCGGTATTTAGAAAGCCAGAATTCTACGTTAGGTTGTGCAAAGAGATAATAATACAACAAGCCAAACTGTAGGAGTTGTCGGAAATGAACTCTTCAAACTCTTTTAACACTTCTCTTAATTCGCAGAAATTAAGTCCCGCTTTGAAAGGATAACGGGCTCTGCCACCAAACGCATCTGGAAAGCATCACACTAACAAGTGAGACGCACGATAAAGCACGCACGTGCACAAGTCAATCAAATAAAGAGTATCGGCAGCCGGGCTTTCGATTCGATCGAAGCCATTCTGCAGATTCTTCTCACTTGACGTGCAGCCGCGGCGGTTTCGCGAGCTGAACAAATGAGACCAAGGAAGGGGGCGGGTTGAGGACTCCCATAGGATCATTGGATTCGTTCCTGAGCGGTGATTGGATAAAAGTAGCTGCCTATTAGAATGCCGAGGGGGGTTTTTTTTTTTGCCGCCCCCCCCCCGCCCCCCACGGGAGCGGACCGTCAGTCTGTTATTAAGGAAGCTAATGAGGCGGGCGGAGAGGCTGGTGGCAGGTTATGGGGTGGAATCGTTTGTGGTCACAGGAACTCTCGAACACGAGGTTGTCGTCCTTTCGCTAATATTTTTCAGAGTTATACTTTTGGGATGGCTTTTGCTACCTTTCCCTAAAACCAGGCGGTCACGTTAACGAGGCAGTTTGTTCACCTGCATCACCTGTGTCATCTCAGCTTGGGCCCAATCTTTATAATCGGATCTGGGTTTATAATTTATAATTAGGTGTGTAGTTATAATTGCATCCAAGCATCCTTTTCCGACGGCTTCATCAAGAAGAGGTTGGACTGCCATTTGTCAGAAATGGGTTGGACTAGATGACCTATAAGGTCCCTTCCAACTCTGATTATCTGTTACTGTTCATCTCGTCATCTGCTGATTCTTGGCTGTTCTGCTTTTCTCCCTATATTGGCTAAATGTGCACTTCAGCTCTTCAATCGTTTCCTGAGAGTGTCCTCGAAGTAGCATATATTAATGCAAACCTAACTATCTTTTGAGTTACCTTGTCTTATAACAAACAATATTCCTCTAGAAAATACATTTTGGGGCACTTCCTCTTGGAGGAAAATTGGTATTTGACTTCACTGTAGAACTAATAGTTTCGGAGTTAGTTGTTGCAGCTCCTGGATAGCATAATAGAGTTAGTTGGAAGGGACAATGAAGTCTTCAGACCAACTCCCTGCTCAAGAAAGTCCTAGTCAAATCCTTATTTCTCTTTTTTAGGGCACATTAAATTGGATTCTCAGAAATGATATCCTTTTGTTCTTTTTGTGTGAAGGTTTGTTGTACTTTAGTTGCTGTTTCCTGAGCCATCTTGGCTTGGGTAGAGCAAGTATTGACAACCAGAATATCTGAAGATCATTAGGCTTCAGAAAGATGCCTTGGCTTATATTTGACTTAGATCTTGTCTTATTTTCTTTTCCTTTTAGACAGCAGTTCTAAAGGAGGAAAAGCAGACCAAAAAAAGATGGATTGGATGAAATTACGTTCATATTCCGGGAACAGGCATATGCAAAAGAAAACACATTGTGCTTCTCCGTTGCCTTCTAAAACAGCATCTGTTGCAAAGGTCAGAATGAAGAGCAAAGCCAAAGCATCTCAGGAGCACCCAGATCTGCTTTCTAAGTTTAGCTGTGATACTCAAGTGAAAAGTACTGTTGGTAAAAAAAAAGGTGAGATCTTCATGAAAATTTGAAGTGTTTTTATTCAGACTGTGTAATCTGTTTGTACTTTTTTGATCACTATAGAGAGCTTTTAGAAGATGTGAAGGCTGAAGAAGATCTGATCTAGTTTGAACATTTCTCTACAATATAAAGGGAGTAGTTGAATGATATGGTTTGTTTCCATCTCATTTACTTATGTTTTCTGTGAATTTGATTTTCAATTAATGTATAGAAAACAATACAGGAAAATATAGGAAAACAATACAGCCTCAAGATTTTTCACAAAAATGTTTTTTTTTTCTGTATGACATAAATGGATTTATTGCTTATAGTTCCTGGACTATGGTGAACTGAATCTTGCCTAATGTAGATATAAAGTCATTATTAGAGTTATTAGAATCACTTGAAATCCTCTCAAAAGATCTGAAGAGGCAACTTGAAGTTTTGAGGCAAGATATTTTTTAAATGTCGCATCTCATCCTCTGGCCTTCCCTGAGTTAAGGGTGAAGGTCTGAAGTTGAAATGTAGTTGTGTACTCCTGATTTTATAAGGCCCTGGATTTCATAAAAATATACAGGGCAGTCATGGTTAGTTCTTTTTAAGGTCTGAAGATTCATGTGTAAGAATCAGGTGGTTTGGTGAGGCCTCATTTCATCTCTATGCTTCCGTTTCCTGAACAGTTTGTACTTTCCAAATAGTTTCCTTCTGCAATCCGAGTCAGGAGAATGTTGGGAGTTGTTTTCTGAATAGCTTTAAGAGAAATACTGTAAGTTCTAGTTACACCACGGCCTTATGTGTTTTATTAGGAAATTTACTCCACAATATACTTTGTAGCTTGCTTATTGCTATGTGTACTATAACTGCAAATGGATTATTCTTTGAATTGCGATCTAGGTTTGAACTGGAAGACAAACAACACACACACACACCCCAACTAGTCTTAGACAACTTTTGGAGTAAGAGCACAATAGGATGGAATGTGACAAAAGTGCGTTTATCTAGGATTCAAACATTTAAAGAGCCTTGATTTTTTTAAAAAAAATGGGTTCATATTGGTAAAATTGAGATTACAATTTTCATTTTGTGTAGGCTGATAGTTTTTGGATGAAGAAAAGCACTGTGTGCTGGACAGTTTGAGGGAAGATAGTTTCAGGGGAAGGGGAGGTCTACCTGGATTTTCTTAGGCCTGAAATGGGTGTAATATATACTGCATTTGGTTAACAGCCTGCACGTCATTATTTTTTCTTGAATACAGGTAATCCTCAACTTACGACCACAATTGAATCCAAAATGTTTGTTACTGAGACAGTTAAGTGAATTTTGCCCCATTTTATGACCTTTCTTGCCACAGTTGTGAAGTGAATCACTGCAGTTCTTAATTTAGTAACACGGTTGTTAAGTGAATCTGATTTTTTTATTGATTTAGAAAATTTATATTATCGCTTACTCACACATGATGACGCAAGGTGGTTTGTAACGACCTAAAAGCACAATATAAAAGAAATAAAGAAAAATAATAAGAAAACAAATAAAATAACCCCCCCACCCCCTCATCCTGGCGACAACACACATTCATACTGGCCATTTAATGGGCTCCATCCTGCTCTGGGTTCCCCAGACCTGCTGGCAGAACGACGTTTTCAGGGCCTTCTGAAAGAGTGCTAGAATGGGGGGCAGTCCAATCTCCAGAGCCCAGGGCACGGCAACTGTCATAAATATGAGTCGGTTGCTAAATATCTGGATTTTGATCACGTGACTATGGGGATGCTGCAATGGTCGTAAGTGTGAAAAATGGACAAGTAACTTTTTTTCAATGCCACTGTAACTTTGAACAGTCACCAAATAAACTGTTGTAAGTCAAGGACTACACGCATTTCTAAGAAGCTTTATGGAGAATATTCTGATTCTGAATTCCAGAAGCACCTCGGGAATAAGAAACTGCCTTCTGATTCAGTTTTAGTTACATGGGTAGGTTGTTTATTCCATTAGACTTACATGCTACTCCAGCCATAACTAATTCTGAGCATTGTACATACCGATACTTTATAACTAATGTAATACAGAGAGTCCTCAACTTACAGCCTTTGGTTTAGTGACCGTTCAAAGTTACAACAGCACTGAAGAAAATGATTTATGACCATTTTTCACACCACCATTGCAACATCCCCATGGTCACATGATCAGTATTCAGATGCTTGTCAATTGGTTCATATATATTTATGACGGTTGCGTGGTCTCGTGGTCACCTTTTGCCGCCTTCTGACAAGCTATATCAATAGGGAAGCTAGATTCATTTAACAACTATTACTCAATTAAGAACCGCAGCTATTTACTTAACAACTGTGGCAAGAAAGGTCGTAAAAAGGGACAAAACTCGCAACAACTTAAGCCATAGAAATTTTGGGCTCAATTGTGACTGTAAGTCAAGGACTACCTGTAAAATACTCCACTGATCAGCCAGTACAAACATTTCCCTTGCAAAGGGGCTCAAAGCTAGCTGGAAAAAAAAACCCCAGTTCTTTGTTGCTTTTTGAAAACTTAAAGCTGAAGCTGATTTGATGTCTAAGGTATATGTTGTTCCAGAAAAAAGGAATGGTGTCTAAAAAGCCCTTCAGATGATCCCTTTATACCATGGGTGTCTTTATACTTTTAGCTTGCCTGGGCTTCACTGAATGAAGACAAGTGGTCTTGGGCCACATATAGAATATACTTAATGTACATAAACAAACTTTATTTTAATATTTTTATTCTCTCTTAAGGGGCCACATTACTAACATATGGCCCATGGGACATGGGTCAGATGCACATGCTTGTACAGTAATGGCATGGGTCCGGTGTGATCTTTTTTGAAAGTTTAATGGATGAATAGATACAACCAGGAGTAGGGCTTATGAGCTTATAAAGGTAACGACAAATCCCTTGAAATGCTCCCAAATGCAAACTAGTAACCAGTGCAGCTCTCAAAGCAGTGATGCTGTGTGTATGTGAGCAAATTGTGTGGGTCTCCTAATTGCCCAAGCCACTCTATTTGTTTGTTTGTTTGTTTATTTATTTTTGTCAATTGCTTACAAGATAATAGGTATAAGTAAAAACATAATTACGAACACATAGATACATATACATATACTCTATTCCGGACTGGTCAAATTTTTCAAATGGTTTTCAGTGTCATCCCCATGGATGGCATATTGCAATAGTCCAAATGAAAGGTGATTCAATGAATGTAAGCAAATGCTTCCAGTTCAGGGAAGATGGTAACTAATGCATCAGAAGAAGCTGTGTGAAGGCTTCTGGAGTCAGTGCCATGTGCTGTTTCAGAACAGCTGTGACTCCAGGAGGAATATACACAAACACCAGGACCAGATAACAGTTCTGCTTGGGGAAGTGTGATCACATCCAGAAGGTGCAATATCTTTTATACAAGCTATAAACATATAATATATGGAAGAGAGACTCGCTGTTCCTCGCTTTAAACTTGGTGATTGATCCAAGTCTCCTTTTTTAATAATTTATGACAATGTTTAACCCAGAAATGTGATGATGAATAGGCTTCACCAACCATATATGTAGGACATTCTTCCCAATCTGTGAATAGTAACTCGCCTCTTGATTAGTCTGCTACCTTAAAACTGCCTAAACTCGGAAGAATGAAAGCTTTCTGTGTACTGTAGGTGGTTTGCTTAGAAAGTTAATTAAATTGAGTAACCAGAAGGGGGAGCATTTCTCCTTTTGAAGAGAAAGTAATTTTAGAGAGTAGGCAAGGTTTTTCAGAAATAATTTGCCATTGCCTCTTTCCTAAGCTGAGAATAAGTGATCACCCAGCTAATTTGGTGCGTAAGGCAGATCACAGTCTCATAGTTTCTAGTATGATGCCTTACTTAGGCACTACACCAAACTGGTTCTCTATGCCCCCTTTACATTTAGGTGAATACAAGACTTTTAGATGAGCTTAATAATGCTGAAGATCTTAAAACTCAATTTTCCTCCTTACTCCTGCTCTTGTTGTAACTTCTAATCTACTTTTCCCCATAGAGAAAATAAAAAGCACCGTTACAGAAGCATTACCAAAAATTCAAGAATATTCTGAAGTGACCCAGATGGTTTGTCCTTCATCTGAAGAAAGGTAGGGAATAATAGGCATTCAGGACTTTTAAAGTTTTTTTTTTTTTTTTGCTTTAATATTACGAAAGGTTTTAGATCACTTTGTGTTAACAGTATAATTCTATGGGGACTGGGGATGATGGGACTGTAATGCGTCACACTAAGGGGATGGTGTTCTTTACCAGCTTTCTTATCAACAGCATTCTCAATTAAATGAATGCTCAGAACCAAGCATAATACACTTACTGTTTTACTGAAGAAGTTTGTAGATATCTGAAAAGATCTGAAATAGCCTCCGAAAATGTAATTGCCGTCATTTTGTTTCTAAATAGGATTGAATTAAATTGCAATGAATATAGAAGTACCAAGGTGACCAATGAATATAGAAGTACTGAGGTGACCAACAATATCAATGACATGGAAACAACTCCTTTAAAGGTAGACGTAGTATTGTGAAATCACTTTAATTCAATAAATTTCACTTGGTGTGGAAGCATAGATGAGGTTAGTATCCAGGATTTCATTAAACCACTTTCAGCTGTGATTGTAATTTGAAAATGTTGATCATATCAGGCTCCCATTGACTTAGATTGGGTTTACACAGTACACTGAATCATAAATTAACCAAACTACTCACTTAAGTCAAGAAATATTAACCAGGGTTAAAACTAGATTTAGTTAAAACTAGAACTAGTTAAAACTAGTTGGAGTTTACTAGGATATGGACAAGCGTGCAGTGGGAAGTTGAGAGTACTTCACACAGCAAGACATTGTCCTGGGAGATTGTGGTGTCCTTTCCAGTCTTCTTGATGAGAAGGATAATCATATTAAATGTATGTGCTGTCTGATTCCCAGCAACTGTGGGCAGTTTATAAATAGTTAAAACATTTAAAACAAGTAACTATACAAAAATATAGCAAAAAGTAATAAGATGTCAAATAAAACAAACACAGATGGGATGAGCAGTAGACTGGCATAAATATGTATATATTTTATTTATTTATTTATTTATTTATTTATTTATTTATTTATTTATTTATTTATTTATTATTTATTTATTGCTTGCTTGCTTGCTTGCTTCTTTGTGTTTACTAGTGTAATAGTTTGATCGTAAGAATGATAGTCCCTCCTTGAGAAAAAAAAATTGCTATCCCAAAATTAACAGCATAGCTTGGGTAGATTAACTGAAGAACGGATCACTTCCAGGCAACAATTTTGAGAAATGTTATGATAATTGCTATGATATCTGGTCTTTCATTGTTGCCCATAGGATTCCTTGCATTTAGCCTCTGCAAGTGCACAAAGCCTGAGATACAGTGAAGCTACTTCAGGTGAGAGTTCGCATGTATGCTGCGCTATTCTTTTCACTATAACTTGAAGCTTTAGTTTTGCACAGCAGTATCATACAGTAACATTGATATACAGTATAACATCCCTGTTCCATGTCAGTTTTTCTTATGCAGATTGATATTGTTTATTATTTGTTTGTTTGTTTGTTTAAATGTGTTATAGCCCCCCAACTCCAAAATAAAAAAAATCCATAAAACTGATAAAACATAAAACAAATGTAGCCTGGACTAAAACAACCTCAAAGGCAATATAAATCAAACTCCTCAAAAATTCAAGGATACATTAACTCCAGGCCTGGGACCAAAACCAGATTTTAAGAGCCTTTTGGAAGCCTAGGAGGGAGGATACCGTCCTTACCTCTAGGAGAATGCTGTTCAGGGACGGGGCACAAGAAAGGACATGGCTTCTCAGTCCCACAAGATGTTGATGTTTAATAAAGAGGATGTGCTGTGTGGGTACGTGCAGAGTAAGTGAAAACTATTGGAGAAAAATGGTCCCTCAGCTATCCAGAACCTATGCAATACATATATTATAATTTGGGATTGTATATGTGAAGAAGAAGAAGTGGTATTAATGGAGGAATTGTGCTTAACTACTAAATCTTTGGGTTTTGAGTTTGTGGTGATGATGTCATGTCAGACAAAATGATTAATTATTAATTTGAAAATTTTAGAAGGTTTTTGAGCTGTGGTCTTCACTGATCTATCTCTTTTGTATCTCAAAGACTTGTAGAGACCAGAACTATAAATGAATGTTCAGTCCTGTCACCATGGGAAATGACAGCTGAGTGGCTCTTTGTAGTAAGCATTGCTTTTGCTTACTTATTTGTTTTGTTAAATTCATGTACCCTTCTCTACAGCAATTGAATAATTAGAGTAAACACTTGATTTACAGACCATTGGAAGAGATGAGTATGTATGTGAAACCTAGATGTCCATTAAATCCACAAATGAGCCAAATCTATACAAAATGTAATTTATATGAATAATCTGGAATTCCTCAGATACCACTGATTAGTTTGAGGTAATGTTTGGAGGAAAATTTTATCTGTTGAATCCTAAGTCTACTATAGCAGGCTTCTTTAAAAGTTTGCTGGTTTGGAGTATCATTCAAAACAGATGTTTGCCTAGAAATATGATCTCTTATAGAAGGTTTCATGTTCCCAAAATACAGTTAACCAGAAAAAAGTGCCCACTTTTTCTTCAGTGAATCTAAGACAACTCTTCATTTAAAGTTATATTATTTGGGTGATATGTAATTTTGGAAATTTCAACTTTACTTTAGAAAACATAATATAAATGTGAATAAATGTATAAATATGTATAAATACTTGATTAATTGCATTAGATAGGTATATATAGAATTTAATTATTTAGATACATAACACACACACACAATATATATATTATATATATATATGTATGGATCTTTGGTTGTTCGGGTTTTCTCCCGCGTAAGATTCGAAGTATCTAGGCAACGTTTCGATGAAGTCTCATTCATCATCTTCAGGCTTCTGTCTCCGGCTCTGTGCTTCTCAGAGTAATGTGAGATTGCAGCTGCTTCCTCCTTTTAACTGCCAGTGGGGGTGGGACTTGATTGGGTGGGGGCTTGGCTGTGTTCTGATTGGGTGGGGGTGTGTTCTCATTGGTAGGGGGTTTGGCTGTGTTCTGATTGGTTGGGGGGTTAGCCGTGTTCTGATTGGTTGGAGGCGTGATCAGAATCAGAACACGGTGTTATGGAAGACCAGGATGCTTCAATAGCAGCCTTCAGCTCTTCTGCATTGTTCGCTCTCATGTCTCTCATCTTTCTCTTGGCAATGCCCCATAGATTCTCTATGGGGTTCAGGTCAGGTGAGTTTGCTGGCCAATCAAGCACAGTAATCCCATGGTCACTGAACCAGGTTTTGGTGCTTTTGGAAGTGTGGGCAGGTGCCAAGTCCTGCTGGAAAATGAAGTCAGCATCCCCACCAAGCTTGTCTGTGGAAGGAAGCATGAAGTGCTCCAAAATCTCCTGGTAGACGGCTGCATTGACCTTGGACTTAATGAAGCACAGTGGACCAACACCAGCAGATGACATGGCTCCCCAAATCAACACAGACTGTGGAAACTTCACACTGGACTTCAATTATCTTGCAGTGTGTGCCTCTCCATTCTTCCTCCGGACTCTGGGTCCTTGGTTTCCAAATGAGATGCAAAAGTTGCTCTCATCAGAAAAGGGGACTTTGGACCACTGAGCAACAGACCAGGTCTGTTCTTTAGCCCAGGTAAGACGCTTCTGATGTTTGTTGTTCAGGAACGGCTTGACAAGAGTAACATGACATTTGAAGCCCATGTCCAGGATCCATCTGTGTGGTGGCTTATGATGCACTGACTCCAGCCTCCGTCCACTCCTTGTGAAAGTCCCCAACACTTTTGAATGATCTTTTCCTGACAATCCTCTCCAGGCTGAGGTCATCCCTGCTGCTTGTGCACCTTTTTCTTCCACACTTTTCCCTTCCACATAACTTTCTATTACTGTGCTTTGATACAGCACTTTGGGAACATCCAACTTCTTTTGCAATTACCTTTTGAGGCTTTCCTTCCTTATGGAGGGTGTCAATGATGGTTTTCTGCACAACTGTCAGGTCAGCAGTCTTTCCCATGATTGTGCTTCCTACTGAACCAGACTGAGAGACCATTTAAAGGCTCAGGAACCCTTTGCAGGAGTTATGGCTTCATTAGCTGATTAGAGTGGGACACTTTGAGCCTAGAATATTGAACCTTTTCACAATCTTCTAATTTTCTGAGATTGTGGATTTGGGGTTTTCATGAGCTGTAAGCCATAATCATTGCAATTATGACAAATCATGGCTTGAACTTTCTTGCTTTGCATGTAGTGAGTCTATCTCATATTAGTTTCACCTTTTAAGTTGCATTACTGAAGTAAATGAATTTTTGCACGATAATTTTTCGAGTTTCACCTGTACATAAAAGAAAAGATACATTTGTTAATAATCATAAGGTACAACCTTAATGATAATTATAAGATATATATACAGTCATAGAGTACATAGGGTACAGTATATACATATACATATATGATAATTCCACCTAAACATTTCAGTAAATGGTATTCATTACAATCATCCATAGCTAATCAGTGTCAGTCATTTTTGTTCATGTGTTCCTCATAACATCAACTTAGCAGACCATTGAGTAATTGGGGTTTTATGTTTATCCCACCAGCCCATTTTCTTATTAAAGGCAAATCTGGTTCTAACTGGATTGGGATTGGTGTGTTATTGTGCATGTGTATTCATTTAAGGATAGATTCACAGCAACCAAATTTGTATATGTTTGTGTATATATAATGTGATGTAATAGTTAAGGTAGTGGCCTAAAAATCAGGAGACTATGAGTTCTAGTCCTGCCTTAAGCATGAAAGCCAGCTGGGTGAATTTGGGCCAGTCACACTTTCTCAGCCCAACCCACCTCACAGGGATGTTGCTGTGGAGAAGGAGGAAGGAGTATTAAGTATGTTTGCCACTTTGAGTTATAAAAATATAATAAAAAGCAGGATAAAAATGTATAAGAATAGCTACACATACAAACTCTTTGAGTATATTTGGTATTGTGTCAGTGATAGGAATACGGTTAAGTTTGCTTTGTTTCCCCTTTGTCGCTAAATATATTGGTTTGAGACAGGTAGCATCATTTTGTCATGGAAAAGGATTTTTGGTTTACCTTGATCAGTTTGTATGCTTCCTTTCTGCTTTGTAAGTGTGCTCCACAATAGAGAAGTAAGCAGTTTGATAAGACTTAAATCTTTCTGTATTTTTTTCCTGCTCCTTCCTGCAAAAGCTTTTCCGAGCTTCTGCAAAGTTAAAATTATTTTTTGATATTTTTTTTACATTTTTCTGTAATTTCAGAAATGACATTACCAACGGGAGTTTCAGACTTTTTGCTGGATTGTTTGGATATGGAGACTACTCTGGACTGTAGTTATACCATTGATTCTACAAGTAGTTATTCATCACCGGAAATATTCAGGGATGAAACTGAGTTAGGTACATATTTTAAAAATTATTTGTAAGAATAAATGAAGAAAAGAGATGCACATACCTTTTATGTTTTATATATGCACATGTATCTATGTTTTTTCTTTGAATTTGAAGGCAGACCATTAGTACATTATATTTCGTTATATTAGGTACAGTAAGGGAGAAAAGCAGATCAAGTCATCTGCCCAATCTTTTTTAATTAGCTAATGTATGCATATTCCTTCAATCAACTTATTTTTTAACTTTTGATTTGGCAATTTCTGATTTAAGTTTCCTAAACCCAGAGATAAATTACTTCCATTATGCATTAAGCAAAGCATTTGTTTCATATTATACTCTCATTATCAACCTATTTGTTAGCTCCGCTGAAATATATGCAAATGTTCCAAAGTCATTATAAAAAGACATTATTAACATTATAGATCTTTCTGAATTTTAATAATAGAACCATTAATTGGATTGTCTTCTCTCTTCAGAAGACACTGCTAGTCCCGAAACACAACTTGCATGCAAAAATTCAACTCTCTTGGATACCAGCAAAGCCATCAACCTAGACAAGATGTCGCAACTGCCAAACTTTTCTAAAATACTCGGTAACTTTCAGAACATGATATGTAACATTTTATTTTACTTTGCCATTGAAGTTCTATGGAAAAACAGAACTATATATTGAGCAGCTGACTTAGGTCTGGGAATATGTTATGGATGAACTTGTGTCAGGAAATAAAGGAAGCTGGGGGAGAAAAGTAATGGACAGAGTAAACTATATCTGCCAGTTTCCAGTGGAAATTACTTCATCACTGAAGGCCAAACATTTCTCAGACTTAATTTGGGATATTAGAAATCTCATTGAGAGTAATTCTGCATGTCCTCTGGTCTCATCCACAAAGCAGCATTTTCTGCTGTTCGTTGCATGAGCCAGCTTAAAGCATGTTGGCTTAATGAAATGCTGGTAATATTTCATATTTTACCTCCATGGAATAAGAATTTTATCTGAATATGAAGAGGGGACAGGAAAGAAGTAGGGTGGGCAAGAAGATCTAAGGGCCTTTTGTTGTCAGTTCCCCGTTTTATGGAGTAATTCTATAGGCTAGAGAACTGACACAAAGGGATCCATTATCTTCTTCCTGTTCTGCTACTTTTTTTGTCATGCATTGCAATAGAGATATGGGGAGATAAGAGACTTCCTCAAGTTTTATAGTTCCACCCACAATCACTTGAGATAGACGAGGCATCTGGGGAGATTTTGTCAATTTTACCTCAAACTGGTGAGTGCTGCAAGGGACCGCTGGCAGCAAGTGGCCATGGTATCCAAAGTTATTCTATGAAAAAGGGAAAATGGCGTTGGAGTAGGCAAAAATACCACCACCTCTGATGTTTATGATGCGAGATATTGATCTCTATAGGAGGATAGGCAGGACCAGCAGGTAAAAGCAGCAATCAGAATACCTATTCAAATCAGCTGAAGTTATTGAAATGTTCAATAGTAATATCCATAAATAAGAGGAGCTGCTATATTAGTATTTTAAAGCACATAAGTAGTCTCCCAAAAGCCTAAGACATAACTTACAAAACAGATTGTGGTTAGGTTTTCTGTAAGAAAAGCCCAGCAGGCCAAAAGCAGTGGAGGGCTGTTCTTAGTAACCAGAGGGCAAGGGCAGTGTCCACAACAGTGTGTGTTGACTGAAGTAAAAACATTGTCTTCAAGGTAATGAAGTGACACAGACAGACTACAAAGCACCAGTCCCACTTTTGACATTGACCAAAAAGAAAAGACAGAGATCACTTCATGGTGGGTCAAAAACATGTATTCCTTTCTTATACATGTTTACTTCTTCAATTTTTATGGATGTCCCCTTGCCAGTCACCTTTATATAACTAACTGAAAATTAAAATCATCAAAATTCAAATTAGAAACCTTAAAAACATGCTGGACACAAACATATTATGATACAACCATATATTATACATCATACTCATGGGTTCATATACTATCCTGTCCCACTACTTGGGACAACAGTCTTCAGGGCCTTCATCAAGGCAGGCAAAGTCAAGTGACAAGTGGTTAATGGGCCACCTTTATACTGGGGCAAATAAAATATGGATGAGCCCTATGACATAGGCAATTAGAAATACTGTACTATCTTGTGCTTATTCAGAAAAAAAATCTCTTCCAGGTACCCCTTCAGGAATCCAAGGCCAAAACATTGCCAGGTAAAAAGAGAATTCTCTCTAAATTTGATAATCTCTTCCTTATATTAGTGTTTTACAAAGCTGCTGGTACAAAACAATTTGTAAGATTAAAGATGCCAACAATCTTACTGGACTCCAAATGTATTCCCTTAATAAACCAAAACCACACTAGAAGAGTAATTTAAACTGCCACTAGGAACAGGTGATTAGTTCTGCCTCTTTTGTGGGAATCAGTTATTTTATAATATAGTACAAAATTAAATATATTGGGCAGTTGAGAAAAATTATAATTGGAAATCTTAAAAGATATGAACTTCTGTAACACGTTACTATTTTTATTTATATGATTAAGGTTTTAAGTCTCACTTGATGGAACAGTAAGTTTGAGTGCCAGATGCCAATTTCCATTTATATTTCACTCTACAGCTAGGAAATCAACAAAAGCTGTGGTGGGATTCAATTATTTTTACTACTGGTTCTGTGGGCATGGCTTGGTAGGCGTGGCAGGGGAAGGATGCTGTGAAGTCTCAGAGGTGGTATTTGCTGGTTCTCTGAACTACTGAAAATTTCTGCTACCAGTTCTCCAGAACAGGTCAGAACCTGCTGAAAACCACCTCTGAACAAAAGCCTTGGACGTGTTATACTAGATTATTTTACTTTGTCAATGTCTCTTCACATTCACTCCCCAAAGACCATTTTATTCAGAGAATGCTTCATATAAGCTTTAGAGTTACTGACATTTATACTTTTGGAGAAATCTCCCAAGAATTGTGGAAACCTTGCTGAGAACTCTAGAAGTGAGACCAACTGTAGTTCTGAAGATCCCCTTTTAGAAATGATATTTTCTACAGTGTATCTATAAAGTTTACCCCTGTCCAGTTTCTGGCTCTAGGGGACAGTACTCATCTCCATTTTTTTTTAGCCAAGAGAGCCAGCTTTGTCCCAAAACACTGCTGTGGTTATGTAGCCAGCATGACTATACACTGAGATGCACGGAACGCTGTTACCTTCACCATAATAATGCCTATTTATCTACTTGCATTTGCAAGCTTCCGAACTGCTAGGGGAATAGGAGCTGGGACAAGTGACAGGAACTTATACAATTTCGTAGCGCTGGGTCTCAAACCTGGGCTGTCAGCTTTCCAACTGACAAGGTCAGTGTCTTTAACTGCTGAGCCATCACATATGTATTGTGGGACTATCAGAGGTTCATATTAAAGCAAAATTAACGATATGAATTGTTTTAACTGATTAGCTGATATATAACATGTAATGTCTCCCCTGCGCAGAGATCAGATTGACTACCATCCTTTTTGTAAGAGCCTTAAATATCTGGTTCTGCCAGATGGCTTGAGGTCCCTATGGGGGAGTTTCACACTGGAGGTTGGTTGACTAATTAAAAGCTAACCCCACCTGCCCCCTATTGTATCCAACTGGTACGTTTTGTGTTAATGATTTTATTTTGTCATTTTATATCTGATGATTTAAATCAGGGGTGTCCAACCTTGGTAACTTTAAGACTTGTGGACTTCAACTCCCAGAATTCCCAGCTTTGCTGGCTGAGGAATTCTGGGAGTTGAAGTCCACGAGTCTTAAAGTTGCCAAAGTTGGACACCCCTGATTTAAATGGTTTTCTGAAATGTGTATTATGCTGAGTATAAGCCATCCAGAGTGGTTTGAAATGAGATGGGTAGCAAATAAACGTAATGAATTAAAAATTAAATATTATTGCGCACAAGTAGTCCTTAACATATGACCCCAAATGAACCCCAAATTTATATTGCTAAGCAAGGCTGCTAAGGGGCTTTTGTCCCATTTTCTAACCTTTTTTTTTTGCCATAGTAACTGCCACCGCAGTTCTTAAATGAATCATGCGGTCATTAAGCAAATCTGGCTTCCCCATTGACTTTCCTTGTCCAAAGCCAGCTGGGAAGTTTACAGGTGGTGATCAAATGACCCGGGTCAGTGCAACTATCATAAATATATGCCAATTCCCAAGTGCCTGGATTTTGATCATCTGATCATGGGAGTGTCACAACAGTCGTAAGTGTGAAAAACAGCCCTAAGTTAGTTTTATCGGTGCCATTGTAACTTCAGATTGTTGTAACTTGAGGACTACTTGTACAGTGCTTTCAGATTAACTTTTTTTCTACGTCTAAGCTCATTGGGCTACAAGCGTACTCCACAGTTCTTGATCTGCAGCCATCCTTTTGACTGTGATTTTTGTTGGACGTTGCTCACTTGTGGAGCACGTGTCCAGCAAAGCACATTCTTTGTTCTCTCATTTTGTCAAGAGAGTCTTCAGGAATTATTTCCTTGTAGAACTTCCTTTTTTGTGACATGGTCCTTATATGAGATATGAAGAATCCTTCTGAGGCAATGTTGCTGGAAGATATTGATCTAATGAACAATTTTAGTTGTAAATTTCCAGATCTCGCTGGCATAGATAGCATTTGGTATGACAATGGCATTAAATAATCTGATCTTGGTTGCTGTGTTTATAGCAGAGGTGGTCCATGCTGAGCACATTTGTTAGAAGACAGCAGCTGTTTGGCCTAGTCGGCATTTCACATCTGCCCGTTCCGCCATCGGTATCCATGATGCTACCAAGATAGCTGAATTTTCCCATAATTTTCTCATAAATTTTAAGGCCTATTCTCCTAATGTTATTGGGGTATTGTCTTGAATACTGCTGACTTGGTTAATTAGGGGAACGTAAATGGGAGGTTTTTATGTGCAATGCTAGTTATAGTTTTTTCCATAATGTTTGAATATATATTAATACCACCATCTTTTGCCAGCAGAAAACAATCCAGGGAAAAACTTCCTTCTGAACCCACAAATACTTCAGCTGCGATAGCAGGTAAAAAAATTTTTTTTTACTATGTGTAAGCTACCTAATAGATTTTTTTCTCTCTCTTACTGAGGTAGGATTATCAACATTCTATTTATAGTGGTTCTTTTAAATACTGCCTAATCATATAAAACCTTTACTACAGCTTGATTGCAATCCTGGCACTGAAATTATCCTAACTAAAATAGTTCCCTTCTCATCCTCTGCATTGCTTTGCTGTCATTCATGGAATTTGTTTACATGCCCTATAATAATTTGGTGTCATATTTTCTCACAAGACTGATCAGGGATTTAAAAATGTATGTCTCGACTTAACTCTCAGTAATTTTGGCTTGTTTGGGAGCCCAGAGGTATTATCCTATCTAAAGATGGGAACATTTAAAAATAATTTTAAAATAAATTATGTTTGAGGTTATAACCCTGTATGTGTATGTGCGTATGTGTGTGTGAACTCAAGGCAGTGAATATACCTAATAAAAAAAGAAAAAGTGTGACCAAAATCATCCAGCCAGATTTCCTGCCTAACCTAAGGGAGGCCTAGAAGTCTGTCTCCTGACTTCTAGGCCAGCGTCTTAACTGCTACAGCAAACTGGAACTTCATAGCAGCTATTACAATTTGTTATGGAAGTTGCACCTTTTTGTGGAATTGCATGGCTGTTTTCTGAAGAACCTTTCGACTCTGAAGCTCTAAAATTGGTTGCAGTTAATTTAGTGAATGTTCATCCCAGATTTTCTGAGATATCTTATTAGGGAGAACTATTCAAAGCAGCCTTCTATACTGTACTCAGATTTGGCTGATCTTTGACCATAATAAAATGAACGAAATACCCAGGCATTCAGTTCATTAATTTCTTGAGAAGTCTCCATTCTCTTTGAAGGGTCATGCATCTGTCTGTCTGTCTACTACATCTATCTATCTATCTATCTATCTATCTATCTATCTATCTGTCTGTCTGTCTGTCTGTCTGTCTGTCTGTCTGTCTGTCTGTCTGTCTATCTATCTATCTATCTATCTATCTATCTATCTATCATTCTTCTAGTGTTGAAATAAAAATAAAAAAACAGAAGTTGTACATCTTCTGTTATATCATCTCTGATTTGGATCATCTCAAACCATGGATTTTTCCTTCCCCCTGGTAGTAGCTTCTACCTTAATATTTTTCCTAACCCAGTATTTCATTTTGTCACAAGTTATAATCAAATGCCTTGATCCTATGTCAATAAAGGAGTAAAAACATGCTTGCATAAATGTGTATCAAGCTCCAGATCATACCAAATAAGGTCCTTACACCAGAGAAGAATCTGCTGAAAGGACATGGTACAGAATATCATGTGGCCAAGCATTTCCTCTCATACTATTAAGCACCTGTTTCCATGCCAATCATAGAGGAATCTGGGAAGAAATGAATTAAGAACTGAGGGTGTGCGTTCTATTATAAAACATTCACAAAAAATTAGACCAGGATTGTGCAAAGGCTGGTGGGCAGAATCTTTAGCAAAGAAAACAAAAATCCTTATGAGCTGTGTTAATTAGATTAAGGCAACCCAACTACCTTATGATGGAGCAGAGTTTTTCCCTTCCCCTCATCATTTGCGTGACAGGGAAAGAAAGAATCCTATCATAATGGTTATCTGGAGAGCATTTTGGAGAAGTAAGAAAAGGAAGCAGGGAAATCAAGGGAAAGAGGGAAGCCTGATTCTTCTCATATACTGCATTGGAAGACAAGGCGACTGAGACAGAATGGCTCTGGTGAGGAGTACTGGGCACAGAAAATATAAAAATGAGGGTTCCTACCTCCGTTGGAAGCCAGTGCAGCTTTGTAAGAGATTCCTGTACTGATTTCAACTCAATGCATGAAGTCCAGCCTTCAAGGCATATCTTGCTACACTGTCTCCGTTTCCAAGCCAGTATCAGAAGGACTAAAGAGTGACTGCAACACTTTGATTGGCTGTTAGTGGGGAAAAGTGGCAACAAGCTACAAAATCACAGCTATTTCTGGCTGCAGGCTGCACCCCATTTTTTTGGTCACTATGGTAACCGTTGTGAGTACCTGATTCATCTAAAGTAATTGGTACCCTTGGATACATACATCAAGTGCAAAATGCTCATTCCCCCTTTGTAGAGAGATTTTGAATAAAGTGGGTAAGTTATATATAGTGCAAAGATATAATTATATGTTCCGAAATTGGGAATAAGCGCGTGATGCTGTTGATGGGTCTCTGAGTCACAAACCTGTGGCTGGCAAAAATAGGGCCATTTTTTTTTCAGATGATTTGAAACATACCGTAGTGTTTTGTTGTATTTTTCAGGGAAACAAGTATGTAAAATTTTGTCTGCAAATGAAAAAAGACTTAAATCACAGCCTTCTGGGGTTTCATTATTACTTCCAGAACGAAAAAAGAAGGTAACCATTTTTAATACTCTTCAGCGGTCATGTATAAATTGGGCAATGTGTGATTACCTTTATTTCTTGTTTATTTGACCTCTGTACCACAACCCACTGTTTTTATAAGTAAGGAGAATCTCTTTACTGTTACAGTGAATCACGTTTGTGAGAATTTCAACTGAAGTGTTAAGTTATTCATTGCCAGGCTGTTATAAAACCCATAACAAAACACGCCTTCCAAACAAAGTAGTAACACATCTATATTCATTGATGGAATTGGACATGAATTAGACATGATTCCCACTTGACAATTGTAAGCTAATATTGAAGCACTGCATCCTTCTTTGGAATATCAAGCTGGTATGAATGATTGAAGGGGGGGGGTGCAGTGGCCTAGAGGTGGAGCTCTTGCCTCACAATCGGGAGGATGTGAGTTCGATCCTTGGTAGAGGCAGATATTTCTTTTTCTGTGCACACTGAGAATATATCTGCTGAATAAAACTCCACATTGGTGACAGGAAGGGCATCCGGCCAATAAACACTCAGCTCCATTCAGTTGTCCAGCTACCACCCTGCAAGGGATTTGGGGGTTGTTAAAAGAGGATGATGATGAATGATTGAAAGGGGACTGTAACTGGGGGCTTTCATGGATAACAAAAATTAACATTCGCTTGAGCTGAGCTCAACCCCTAGCGTGCATGTCATCCATGTAGCTTTCATGGCAAGATAACAGAAGTGATTTGCTATTATCTCTTGATTTTTTATTTTTTTTAGATTTCCCAATCTGGTCTACAACCCCACGGTTTCCTGGTAGTCCCCCATTGAAGTCATAACTAAATTTAACCCTGCTTAGCTTTTTCAAGATCAGCCAAACTTGATTAAATGCTGTCCCATTCTACAGCTGTAACCATCAAGGATAGGGGTAGAATGACAGGGCGGGGTTTCTCACCAATATGCTTCCCATTACTGATAACTGATGGAAGAATACTTTCAGTGGAATGTGATAGATGGGAGGATTATTTAACCAGTCCTCTGTTCGCTTATTCTTGCCCACAATATTTCTCGAGTTTCTCACATGTCTAGGCAGTGTTATTTTGAGTTTTGGAGTTAACATAAGAAAATATTTTTTGATACTGTCGTCCTGTTCTTAGATACAGATGCCCCAGAAGGGGCAATTGAAGTTATTGTAGTGTTATGATATCACTGGATACCTTAAACGGGACAAAGCTTATGAGGAAGGAAATCCTTTATATAATCTACATTCTTCTCTTCTCCCATGGACTTATTAGAGGATCTTAAGGAACTGAAGTCACCAAAAACTCCAAAATACAGAGCACGACATTAAGGAGGAAAGGAACCCCATGTTGCTGGTATCCAACTTCACCAGAAAGAGAGATCCCGAACATATCCCGAAAATATTTTTATAGCAGTTGAGGGTAGAAAAGTGGGAAATCTTAGGGATTTTATTTGCCAGCCAGGTTGGGGAAGCTAGGTAAGTCCTTGTCAGTGTCCCTGGAGCTAGTTCTATTGTTAAGCAAAACAGGTCTTTCATGGTAAAGGGGAAGGAATATTGAAGCTGATAGAAGCCTAGGAGTTTTCCTGTAAGAATGGCCATGGGCTGGACTGTGAGCTGGTGACTAGGCTTTAATTCTTTCCTTTAGATGGGATTGCAAGGGGTTTTGTTTTGGGGTAGGGAGGGTCAGTTTGGGTTTGATAGGAGGTGGTAATGAGAGGCTGTGGGTTTCACTCTGGTTATGTTCAAAAAACAGGGAGGAAAAAAGATGCAATCTCTCTTTTCAGTCTCTATTTTCTCCAAAAAAACCAGCTGTTCTTTACAATAGTGGGAAAATGAGTGTAACCTCCTCTATAATGTGTTAATTCGTTATGCTTTTAAAAATGAGATCAAAAATGCAAAATGCTTTGTTCACATTAGGTTATTTTAAATGTAAGTACATTTTTCACTAGTCTTGATTTTACACTGATGCACATTTCCTTTTAACTTTAGACTGAGGATCAAATACCCGTCAAAAGGAAATGTAGAAAAAAAATAACATTTGAAAATGAATGTTCTATATCCTCTCCTCATGGACCACCTTCCTCTGGAAAAAACAGCTCCAAGGAAATGTGTGGGTTTGCAGCATCCAAACCTCCAAATGCTGACATGGTATGTAACTACTGCCTGTGTCTGAAGGCCATGGGGAAATGGAGTGTATGTATAAAAGGAAAAAAAGAAGGTATATAAACCATATTGAACCTTGCACTTAGAAATTTATTTATTTATTTATTTATTTATTATTTGTCAATTGCTTACAAGATAATAGGTACAAGTAAAAACATAGTTATGAATACACGGATACATATAAGAAAAATATATAAAAGAAACAATAGGACAGGGACGGTAGGCACCTTGGTGCACTTATGCACGCCCCCTACAGACCTCTTAGGAAAGGGGTGAGGTCAATAGTAGACATGGTTAAAGTTTTGGGGGTTTGAGGAAGAAACCACAGAGTCAGGTGGAGTATTCCAGACATTGACCACTCTGTTGCTGAAGTCATATTTCCTGCAATCAAGTTTGGTGCGATTAATCTTGAGTTTGTATCTACTGTTTGCTCTTGTGTTATTATGTTTTGAAGCTGAAGTATTCATTGACAGGTAGGACATTGCAATGTATGATTTTATATACTATACTTAGATCGGACTGAAGGCGGTGTAGTTCTAGGTTTTCTAGGTCTAGAATTTCAAGTCTGGTGATATAAGGTATTCTGCAATGAGTAGAGGAGTGGAGAACTCTTCTTGTGAAATATTTCTGGACTTTCTCAACTGTGTTAATATCAGATACGTAATGTGGGTTCCAGACTGATGAGCTGTATTCAAGTATTGGTCTAGCAAATGTTTTGTATGCTCTAGTAAGTAGTGTAATATTACCAGAGAAAAAGCTACGTAAGATTAGGTTAACAACTCTTAACGCCTTTTTGGCTATGTAGTTACAGTGGGCTCTAGCACATAGGTCATTTGAGATGAGTATTCCAAGATCCTTGACAAGAGTTTGGATCATCAACAAGGTCTTGACTATTCAGCCTGTATTTTATTTTCTGATTTTTTTTGCCAATATGTAGGACAGAGCGTTTATTGTTGAGATTTGAAGTTGCCATTTGTTTGACCATTCTGATACATAGTCAAGGTCTTTTTGAAGGGTAGCAGTATTGTCTGTGGTGTTGAATAGCTTTACATCAACAGCGAAGAGAACACAGTTGCTCTTAATATGATCACAGAGGTCATTTATGTAGACTATGAAGAGAGTTGGTCCTAGAACACTGCCTTGGGGGACACCACTGTTGACAGGTACAGAATTTGATAGGACGCTCCCAATTTTGACCATTTGTTGTCTGTTTGACAGAAATGCTTCTATCCAGTAATGCAGGTGTCCAGAGATACCGTAAAATTTTAGTTTTAGGAGTAGTTTGTCGTGTACTACTGAATCAAAGGCTTTACAGAAGTCTATGTAGATTGCGTCTATTGCTTTGCCCTGATCGAGTTGTGTAGTCCACATGTTTTTGCAGTGGAAGAGTTGCAGATTACATGATAGTTTTTTCCTAAAACCAAATTGTTTATTAGAGAGTAGGTTGTTTGTTTCTAAGTGGAGGATGATGGATTGGTTAATAATTGATTCCATGACTTTACAGGTGACACAACATAAAGAGATTGGTCTATAATTTTCAACTAGGCTGGGGTCTCCCTTTTTGAAGATGGGGATGACCATGGCTAGTGGCCATAGCTTTGGCAAGGAGCTGGTCCCGAAAGATTTTTCAAAGATTACGCTTAGAGGTTCTGCTATGGCAGTGGATAGCTTTTTTAAGAAGTAGGCACATATTCCGTCCGGTCCAATAGATAGAGATGGTTTTAGATTGCGTAGTGCTTTTTCAACAATGTCTTCTTTAAAATCAATATATATTAGATCATTGTAGTTGTCTGTGGTTCGACTAGGAAATACTGGGCATGATCCATTGCTGTTTACAAATACTGAGCCAAAGAATGTGTTAAAGAAGTTGGCTTTAATAGTGTCGTCGCTGCAGTCTTTACCATCAAGTCCTTTCAGGGGTGGAATGGACCTTGAGTCTTTTAGTTTGTTGTTTACAAAATTGTAGAAAGTGCGGGTGGAATTGGTGAGTAGAAGGTTTTCTTGTTTAATGTGATAATTGGTACATTCAGTTTTTATCTGGTGGCATAAATTTTTGTATCGGCTTTTGAAGTTGGCAATGTGACCAGATCTGTTTTTCCTCCAAAGTGATCTCTTTTTGGATTGAAACTTCCTTTTTGTTATGGGTAATTTGTTTTTTGTTTTTTCTGGTTTTGGGAGTTGTTTGATGTTTGATGACTCTTTTGACTTCAAGTAAAAATATGTTGTAATGGTCTTCTACAGTATTGTATCCAGTGAATAGAAATTGCCAATCAAGGGATGAGAGATCATTGTCTATAAGATCATAGTTGCCGTTTTTGAAGTTATAATTGGGGATTCCGTCGTTGTGATGATTTTTGTATGGACGTATGTTGAGACAAAAGTCAATCATGCTGTGGTCACTGTTGGAAAAGGATTCTTTAATTTGTATTCCAAAAATTGAATTCAAACTATTGCAGAAGATGAGATCGAGGCAGTTGTATAATATTAACATAATGGCAGAAAATAGACAGCTATGAGTTATTTGGCACCTTGACACTGAGACTGAGAATGCCTTTAGCCATCTATTTCAGGAAAAAGATCCACTGGGAAGAACACCCTCATAATTAATCAAGCTTACTTATTCAAGACTGGATACATAGGCCCCTTCCACACATTTATGAATGCAAGCTTGCTCATTTGACTTTCCATGTTTCCCCAGTCTGCACAAATGTAGATATTAAATTCATCTTATCAAAAACTGGCACTTTTTAATTTGGGTAGATAATCTGGAATTGTTTGATCAAGGGATTCCATCTTACAGAATAATCACCTATTTTCTATTGCACTAATACTCTATAGGGCAGTTAACCTACAATAGGTTCTTACTTTGATTGAATTTAAAGGCAGGGTATTAACTGAATGCATAAATAAACACCTTTATTTCTTTGCTACTAAATGAGGTTTTGTTTTTATTGTGTGCTTATTTTACAAACTTTAAACTACCTGGAAATGTTATGTTAAAGTATCTTAATGGCACCAGACATTCTGGCTATACTAACTAATATTTTCATCATGTAGGTAACAATATAAATGTTTGTTTGAAGTATGCCACTTAGTAATGTTTTCAGGGAAAAAAGGTGTTTTTTTAAAAAACAAATGAGCCAATTTGCTCAACTGCAAAAAAGCATTAATAACTTTTGTACATTGTTACTTCTGGCAACAAGTATCCTTACTTGCTTGACAGTTTTTGCTTGAAAAATAAACACTGAGATGAAATGACTATCAACCAGAGTTTCCAATTTAAATGACTTTTATCAGAAACTCAGGCAAAAGTGAATAAAGGATTACTTTCTGTACATTTTGAATTATCAATAGCTGAGATGCACCTTAAGACTGAAGGTTATATCCAGACATTTTTGTATTAAACATGCTTCCCGTTCAAAAGAGTATCATGTAACTATCTACTTGAACTTCAACTGCTTTTCTGATCTAGAGCCATAATGGTCTCTATGAGGAGCCAGTTTTTATAAGCCACTATTACAGCGTATTTTGACAAAGGGAAGGCTGTTTTGTGCAGTCCAGATATAAGCTATTCCTGTAAACTGAAGGTCATGAAATATTTTCCTTGAGAAACACACCCTCTGATTAACCATACCCCCTTGCACTTTTATTTTGCTTTGGTTACAGTTAGACTTATTGTCCGCGCATGAAGCGTCCGTCCAGGACAACTGTTTGGCATACAAAGAGTGTCCAAATGTGAATTCAGAAGCAATTGTTCCTCTTTTTCCCCAGGTTATATATTTCTTTACTTTTTCTATGATTCAATATTAAATTAGTATGTGATTTTTTTTTATTTAAAGCATCAAGGTAAAATAGAACAGGATTTCAAATGTTTTCACAGTTCTCTCTCTCTGAAATGTGATATATCCTTAGGTCTGATTTTCTTCTGGTTTTATACTTTGGATAAAGGATGTTGGTTCTGAACCATGAATATTACTCTCTTTCCTCCTGTATTTGGGCTCTTTCTTGTTTTAATATATTCTTGTATTTTCAAGTGTCACTTTTTTTTCTTAAAGTATTTTACAAAAAAAATCAGTAAAATTAATGGCCAACTTTTGCTGCCAACTTGCAGAGCCTTTCCACCCCTGGGTATATTGGGTAAGGAAACATTATGCTTTATATTGATTCCATGTAGAGTTTCAAATAGGTTGACATTGTTCTATGGCTCCTTTCAAACATACTGTCAAAATTCTGAATTAATTTTGTATTATCACAAAAAACTTCTGGTTTGTGTGCTTTCCTTCCCTTTTACCTCTGGCATGGACTCAAGGGTTTAAATGCAAATCTTTTAGAATCATTTAGTTTTGTTCTTCTGTCCTTTTTTCTGTCCAGGAAATGCAGAATCTGAATATAGCCTTTGCTCTTAGTTTGCTCATTCCTAGCTAGGAATATTCACAAGAAATAACTCTGTTTAAAAATGAAAGGAAGTAGTTTTGATCTCATATCCATTTTAGAAAAACACATAGGAGTGTGAGCACAAGAGCCAAAAGATTATACGTGCAATGCTTATCCAATAATTTAATGTTCTGAAAACTACTCCGTGTTGTATGAATAATGTTCTTCTGTTTCATTCAGAATTTACATAGCCCACCAGAAATCTGCTGTATTATTCAAGCTTCACCAGGATTTAGACCGCTGAAAGTAGTCCAGCATTCAACAAAGGAAAAAAAAGGGTTTCTCCCACCAGAGGCAACTGAAGGTAAAAGGAAGAGAAAGAAAATATTATGAGGAGCTATCTTAAATGGGTAACATGCTTTCAGATTCTGTATGCAGAAAATAGTTTGTGGTAGTTTGGGATAAAAGCTTCACAACAAATTCCAGTGCACTGCAACACAAATTGCTTGGAAAGTGAATTGAAAAAATGTGAGATTAGCTCGTGAGTTCAGATTATTTCTTGGCTATACATCCCCAGAATAATTTGTGGGCAATACAAAAAGCTATTAAGTCAATTTTATTTCTACCTTTAAAGGTTAGCCTAATTAATTAATCTAGTATAAAACTATCGCTCAATCCACCAAAAACATAACTGTAAAAGACAAATAAAAAATAAATAAAAAAAAAATAAAAGTTAAAATAAGCAAAAAAAATAGTAAGAGAACACCTGTCTGATCTTGATGAAAACAAATCAACGGGGCCTGATGGATTACATCCCAGAGTTTTAAAGGAGCTGGCAGAGATCATCTCAGAACCACTGCACCATATCTTTCAAAAATCCTGGAGCACTGGGGAACTACCGGAGGACTGGAAAAGAGCTGATGTGGTTCCCATCTTCAAAAAAGGAAAAAAAAAACAGACCCAGGAAACTATAGACCAATCAGCCTAACATCAATACCCAGGAAGATACTGGAAAAGATAATAAAATAACAGATCAGCCAACATCTAGAAACAAGTAAAGTAATAACTAGCAGTCAGCACGGGTTTGTTAAAAACAGATCATGCCAAACCAATCTTATTTCATTCTTGAACATAGTGACTAAATTAGTAGACCAGCGAAATATTGTGGACGTAATATATTTAGATTTCAGCAAGGCATTCGACAAAGTAGACCACAACCTACTTCTTAGTAAGCTAGAAAAAAGTGGAATAGATAGCACCACCACTAGATGACTTGCAATTGGCTGACAAACCGTACTCAATGAGTAGTCCTTAATTGGTCTAAGTCTACATGGAGGGAAGTAAGCAGTGGGGTGCCACAAGGTTTCATCTTAGGGCAAGTACTCTTCAATATCTTCATTAATGACTTAGATGAGGGAATAGAATGGGAACTTACCAAATTTGCAGATGATACTAAGCTGGCAGGAATAGCTAACACCCAAGAAGATAGGCTCAAAATCCAGATGGATCTTGACATACTAGAACACTGGGCCGGATCTAACAAAATGAAATTCAATATAGAGAAAAATAAAGTCCTACACTTAGGCAAGAAAAACCAAAAGTACACATATAGACTGGGTGAAACCAGGCTCAATAGCAGTAATCGTGAGATATATCTTGGAGTCTTAGCTAAATATGAGCCAGCAGTGTGCAGCAGCAGCCAAAAAAGCTAATGCAATCCTAAGTTGCATTAACAGAGGGATACAATTGAGATTAAGTGAGGTACTAATACCACTCTATAAAGCCTTAGTAAGACCGCACCTAGAGTACTGTGTCCAGTTTTGGTCACCACATTATAAAAAAGATGTTGAGACTCTAGAAAAAGTACAGAGAAGAGCAACCAGGATGATTAGGGGACTGGAGGCTAAAACATATGAAGAATGGTTACAGGAACTGGGCATGGCTAGTCTAGTGAAGAGAAGGACCAGGGGAGACATGATAGCGGTCTCCCAATATTTGAGAGGCTGCCACAGGGAGGAAGGGGTCAAGCTATTTTCTAAAGCTCCTGTAGGCCAGACAAGGAATAATGGATGGAAACTGAACAAGGAGAGATTTAACCTGGAAATAAGGAGAAACTTTCTGACAATGAGAACAATCAACCAATGGAACAGCTTGCCGTCAGAAGTTGTGGGAGCATCATCACTTGAGACTTTCAAGAAGAGATTGGACTCTCATCTGTCAGAGTGTAAGCTTGGGCAGGGGGTTGGATTAGACGACCTATAAGGTCCTTTCCAACTCTGATTATCTGTTATCTGTTAAAATCAGGAAAGGCAAAATTGGTAATGTTGAGCATAATAGCATGTTATATTGTCTAGAAATAATTATAATAGGAAAAGATATGGGAGATTGTTATGATCGAAGGATGGCAGTTTATGTATCTTGTTTGTTACCAAAAAGTATATTAGAGCTATGGTGTCACAGCGGTTAGAATGCAGTTCTACTTTTGGCTGCCAGCAGTTTGGCTGTTTATTTCTCACCGGCTCAAGGTTGACTCAGCCTTCCATCCTTCTGAGGTCGGTAAAATGAGGACCTAGATTGTTGCGGGCATTATGTTGACTCTGTAAACTGCTTAGAGAGGGCTATAAAGCACTATGAAGTTGTATATAAGTCTTAAGTGCTATTGCCATACTATAAGAACAGCTTTTTCTGCTGTATACCATCCAAATTTCTTGTTATATTGCATTTTGGGCAAGGTTTTAGATCTATTTTCATTGACAGTTCTGACTGTTCTACAGTTGTAATGTTGTTCCCAAATTCAACAATATAATACTGATGTATTTTCTCCAAAAGGTGAAACAGAAATTTTATCCCAGTACAAAAATATTTATATTTCAGATATTGTTACAAGTTCAAAAAAAAACCAAAAAACTCACCAAAGCAGGAAGAAACGAAGCAGAGTACCTGCTGGATCCTCTGCAGTATCTACCATAAACAGCACATATAATGAGTAAATTCATTGGCATTAAATTCTATTGCAATAAATTATATTAAAACTATCTTCATTATCTTATATATTCGTATAATTATATCTAATTTCCAGTATTTATCTACAACATGCTTGTTACATGCTTCTGAATTGCATATTTATTGAAGAATATGTAAAATGGTTACCTAGGAAGGAGATTGTTGGATTTGCATATGGTCACTTATTATTTCTCTGTTGAAAATTACTTTAGTTTACTTCTTACTGTTTTCTTAAGAACAGTATGAAACATTTACTTGGTTGAATCATTAAAAAAAAGAAAAAATGGGAAATTGAGAAAATGGAAGGCAGCACATAATTAAAGAAAATATCTGGCTTTTGTACATTTGAAACCTGGTGGTAGTTTTAAAGGAAATAATGGGGGGGAAATATTTCAGGATGCATGTATTTTGATAGGTAAAATATTGTTCAATGATTATAAAATGGCATAAGTTTTGTGTTTATGTTCTGAATTATGTTTTTGAAACTATTTTATATATCCTTAATATATCTCAGAGATATTAGTCTAAATTCAGCTAAATTGAAATCTTTGAATTTAAGCCAATTCAAACTAATTGCTTCTATTTTTCATTTCAACTAGACTGAATGTAAATTAAAATGTGAAGCTCTAATACTTTTGTCCTCTGAATATGTAAAAAAATAAATTATTTTTGTTAGCACAATTCTTTTTAACAGAGTGATTTCTTTTCCTCAACGGATTTTAAGACAAAATGTTAATATTTATTGCTAGTTTTAAAGAGATTTTTCTGCATATTATTTTTGATAAAGCAGTTTCTGTGATACTATTCTCTAAACATGTTTATCATGGTTTACTCAGCCCAGTTTTCTGGTCAAACACAACACACTGAATTATAAAATTAAACAAATCAAGTTGAGTTTGCACAATATAATAAGCTAAAATGTATTTTGCCTCGTGGTGACTCAGTATGCTGGGCAAATCTAGTCTGTAGTCTGTTTTACTCAACCTTCTCCCTCTGCCTTAAAGGCTGGCTTAAAATTTTGTTGATGACACAATGTTTGGTGTACCTTTTGGTTTGTAAGTATCTAACATACTTATAAAACTGAAGTGTGGTGGCTAGAAGAGGAGATCAGAAGCAGCTGCTGCTTTTTGTAAACTAACCAAAGCTCCTTTATTATGCCCGAGGTGGTTTTGTGCAACCTTTTTCGGAGAACAATTTTACTGATGCTATTCCATGAAAATATAATCAAGACAAAACAAATCTTTGCTGGCTCTCCTTGCCTTTGTTGTTTGGTTGTACCAGTGGAATATTCACTTCTGATTTCCCTTGATGTTATTTTCCAAAACATCTAATGTGGTCAAGGTCACTTTATAATGAAGATTCTCCTCTGATGGATGTCTTCAGTGGTGTTGACATAAGCACAGCAACATATCCAGCAAGCTTCTGATTCCAGTCAGGAATAATCTCTCCGATGTAGTCCTTCATGGTGTCAGTTCAAATTTTCATCTTACATAACACAAAATTGCTAATGAGAGAGTTTGTTCCTATCAAAAGTCCTTACTTTATAGAACAATAAAAGTCAGCTCTTCAGTTTGCCTGAAAAATTAGATGGAAACAATATCATTTATTATAGACACATTATTACACCTAGGACTGACTGACATTGTCTAGTCACTACTTGATAGCTTGCATATCAAGTAAAAACTTAGATGTATGACTGAATCTTGGATTTTAGACATTTGCTGGAGGTTACATTTTGCTTGCAATCCGTGACCATGATCCTTATCATTTCGCCTACTTAATTGTGACTCACCTAATGTTAAGAGAGTATATAATGTTACTATGTGGGAATGCCATGGACTCTGGCCTTCGAGTCCAGTTTTGTGCATTTGTTTTCATGCATGAACTGATATTCCCCAATCTGTATTTCAATTTTACCTTCCAGGTAAGTTGGGATTCTTGTTCTCCGAGTTTGTTTTTTTGTACATATTACCAAACTAGGTAGCAGCAGGGGTTTACTCTCATTTTATATACTATTTGCCCCATCAGGGAAGAGAAGGAGGAGAACACTCACAACAGTAAAAAAAACCAACAAAAAATAGTAGATAAAGTACAGTATAAAAACACAGAAAAACTTTATAGGGTAATGTTAAAAAAAGCATATTAAAACCATAAAACATGATCAAAGACCAGGTTACCAAAACTTTAATTACATTCAAAACAACCATCGAAGAAGCTCTATTACCCAGTTGGATCTCCAAACCCGGTGGGCAAAGCCAATCTTTAGGACCTCATAAAAGACCAATAGGGCTGAGGGCAATCTAATCCAGGCTTTATAGAAATTTCATTCAGTTGAAATTGAACATATTGTATACATTCTGCTTAACTTGGAAAAAATGTTTTATTTTGTTCGCTTGTAAATGTCATTAAGGCTAAATTATTCCTTGTTACAGTGCAGAGAAGATGGCTTTCAATTTCTCTGTTTGAATTCCTGCTTAGAATTAGAGTATTCTAAACTATTTCTTTAGCATGTTTCAGCTCTACAAAGTTTAATCTTGACTGCTAATTGACTAATCAGTACATAAACTTAAAATGATCCATTTTCAATCTTGAATTAGTATATAAGCAGATTAAGATATTTATTTACACAGTTTAAAAGATTCTATAAAATTTAACTAAAGATTTAGTAAAACTTAAACTAAATAAATAAAACTTGGAATGAAAGCTAAACTATAATAGAGAAAAATGTGAAAGTTTTCTATCCTTGCTTTGTTACCGTTACAAAAGAATACATGGGGTTCAAAGAGAAAATGTATAGTTAAGTCAAATCCTCAATTTTTCCTTCCTAATTCAATAGAACGTTTTACCATTTTTTTCTCCAAGTCAGGAAGTTCCCAAGGAAGTGAAGATCATATTTATTCAGACTTCTAACAGAACAAAAGGAAGAACTGTGCAGACCTATGGTGAGCATCATGGAATCAAAGGTTCTGCTTCTCCCCCCCCCCCCCCAAATCCCCCCAGAATCTATGTTTAGTCACTACTGCTTTTAATTGACTTCCTGATTCCAACATAATTTTGAACTTTTTCTTTCAAGCTATTCTCCTTCCTGGCATTTTTTTTTTAGTCTCCTATCAGTCTAGTATTCGACTGATGCTTCCTTACAAAGAAGTGGCATAGTTTTAAGTGCAACTATTTATTGGCCCTAGAAGGACCATTTTCATTTCCAATATGGGAGAGCTAATTTGGCATAGCAACTAAGGCAGCATCCTAGAAATTGGGAGACCGGGAGTTTTAGTCCTGCCTTAGGCCCCGAACCAAGTAGGTGATCTTGGACCAATCATTCTTAGCTCTAGGAAGGAGACAATAGTAAACTATGTCCAAAAAACCTTGCCATGAAAACGTCAGGGACTTGTTCAGGCAGTCACCAGGAGTCAACAATGACTCAAAAGCACACACCCAAAAGGGATGAAGATACTGGATTAAAGCATTTGGTTTTTTGATCCCTTGAAACTGTGTTTAAGACACATCTCAGCTGTCACCTTCAGTATGTAAAATATATTATCTCATCTTCTGCAATAGTTTGAATTCAATTTACGGAATACAAATTAAAGAACCCTTTTCCAATAGTGACCACAACATGATTGACTTTGGTCTCAACATACGTCCACACAAAAATCATCACAATGACAGAATCCCCAATTTTAACTTCAAAAAAGGCAACTATGATCTTATAGACAATGATCTCTCATCCCTTGATTGGCAATCTCTATTCTCTGGATGCAATACTGTAGAAGACCATTACAACATATTTTTACTTGAAGTCAAAAGAGTCATCAAACTATATGTACCATTAACAACTCCCAAAACCAGAAAAAAACAAATTACCCATAACAATAAGGAAGCTTCAATCCAAAAAGAGATCACTTCGGAGGAAAAAAAAATCTGGTCACTTTGCCAAATTCAAAAGCCGATACAAAAATTTATGCCACCAGATAAAAACTGAATGCACCAATTATCACATTAAACAAGAAGAAAACCTTCTACTCACCAATTCCACCCGCGCTTTCTACAATTTTGTAAACAACAAACTAAAAGACTCAAGGTCCATCCCACCCCTGAAAGGACCTAATGGTAAAGACTGCAACTGCGACACTATTAAAGCCAACCTCTTTAACACATTCTTTGGCTCAGTATTTGTAAACAGCAATAGATCATGCCCAGTATTTCCTACTCGAACCACAGACAACTACAATGATCTAATACGTATCGATTTTACAGTCCCTCTCCATCACCTGCTGGCCACACCCACCCATTTTAGAGAATGGGAAAAGACATGTCACGTGACAACACCGTGATGATGCGTGTTTGACACCCCTGCATTAGCACTTAGACATATACCGCTTCACAGTGCTTTACAGCCTTCTCTAAGCAGTTTATAGAGTCAGCATATTAGAGGAGGCTGTAAAGCACTGTGAAGCGGTATATAAGCCTAAGTGCTAATGCAGGGGTGTCAAACACGTATCATCACGGTGTTGTCACGTGACATATCATGTCTTTTCCCCATTCGCTAAAATGGGTGGGTGTGGCCAACAGGTGATGTATCCAGCCTGTGGGCTGCAAGTTGATACCCCTGTGCTATTGCTATTGCTATATGCCTTGCCAGTAATGTACAGGATGAAACGGAGAGCTACAGTAAATGTTGCAACATTAAATATTCTGTTTCCAGCCTTGCCCTCTTCCATGATTCTTGAACCAAGTTTAGGAACTTTTTGTATATGGGAAGGGAAGTTAACAGTTTTGAGAAGGTTCAAAGATGTCACATACAAGTTTTGTGTGCTGGGATTTTCCTTATTTTTCTGGGGTTTCTATGCAGGCAACACAGACAAATTCTTTTTGGAAACAGCCAGTCAGAGGCAGATGAATAACTCTGACCAATATGGTCATCATGTGTCATCGCCATGGTCAATCTTAATGCATGGCTAGATTTCCTGAAAGGCAGACTGCATTTGTGTGGTCCACTACATCCAGAGCTATATTGCAACACTTTTACCTTGAATCACTGGGTGTGCAGTTTTGTCATCACTGGAACACTCATATCTAGCATACCACTGGTGTAAAGGGTTGTGGAGTGATGGAGGGTGATGGAGAAGCTAAAGTTTTAAGGTCCCTCCTATCTGGTGAAAGATAAAACTTTCTGGGTGATTCCCCAGTCTCACTTTCCTTGGAGCAACTTGCATTCAGTGGTGGCGCTTGTGGGACACCAACAAAGTAGGTTCTTAAGGGTACTGGCTTTAGCTCTCAAGGGAAAAGCACTTAGCTTCCATTGCTGGCGGACTTGCCCATTTTCACTTTTGTTTCCCCAGCCATCTTGACTTCTTTCCCGGTAATTTGTAACTGAGAGGATTTAGGGAAATGACTTTCATAGCAGCCACAATTAATAACTTGGTACAATCACACTGTAACTGTTTCTGTCAGCTGCTAACACAAACGAAAGACTTCTCCCCTCCACACACTTCTTAGCACTTTTGAACTCTTGACTTTTAGAACAATGTACTTAAGAGGCATCTCCTGACTGACCATTTATATATATATATATATAAATTATGTTTATAGAGGCATTTTTGCCTTCTTGCGAGCCACATCATTGTGAGATTTGTGGAACGGCTGCTCGGTCCCAGTTAGGCAAAATTCCCTTGGGCTTGCATGGGATGGACCTAAGGCAATCGGGGCTAAAATTGGCGGAGGGAATCCGAATGAATGTGGGATAAGCCCCCCACCTCACCCCACCCGCCGCCGCCGCCGCCCACGTTCCCCTCCCCCGGTTTCTCTCCACACCAAAACATCCCAGGGCTGCCGCGCCGCCGAGCCAAGCAGGGATACGGTTTTGGCCCACGTGGGTTGGCCCGGCCAGCCAATCCGCGGCCGGGGAAACCCGCGCGAAGCCCCGCCCTCCTCCTCCTCCCTCCCTCCCTCCCGTTCTCTTCAGCCGCGGCTGCTGCAAGTGATTAATTTTTGTCATATGACTGTCACACCGAATGGAGTCGGGTTCGAGGAACTAAGCTGGCTGCCCCAGCTGCGAACGGGCGAGCGCTAGCACGGCTTGCTCCCTGGCGGGACCGGAGTGTCGCATTCCCAAAATGCCTCCCACACCCACCTTGTTGCAGAAGCTTTTCAACAAAAAGAACGGCTTGGTTTCCCCCGGCAAGGAGTTCAAGGAAGAGGCGGTCTTCAGGTAAGGGAGGGCAGGCGAAAGCCGGGCGAGGCAGCGGCTTGCCAGCGTGCTTCGCTTTCCGCTTTCTTGGCTGCTCGATTCTCCGCTCGATTTTCTCCTACTGCACCCCAGCAACGGGTGCCTGAGGGGAGGCGGGGGGTCGATCCTGGCCTCCCCTCCTCCCCTTCTTGGTCTGGGGCAGCCCGAGAGGCTTTCCGCCCATCTGGCTTCCCCGAAGAAGCCTGGAGGAGGAGGAGGAAGAGGAGGAGGCGGCGGCGGGCGCGCAGGATTTCTTTCTTGGCAAGCTCTGCGCTGCCTTGGCGCCCGCATCGCCGGGCTCCCTCTCGGGCGGAAATCACACGGATACGCGCCTTCGCTGTGCGCCAAAACTTGGTGCGAGCTTGCTTGCTTTCTTCCTCCGGGGGTTTCTTCCTCCTCCTCCACGCCGTCTAAACGCGGTCTCTCCCCCCCCCCCCCCCGAAAATCGGGCACATCACGTGCATGCAAAGGCTGCGCAAACCAGGGTTTACATCACTTTCCGTCGGTTGCCAAAGCCTAAAAGAGCCTAAAGGATCTTTTCTTCTTCTTCTTCTTCTTCTTCTTCTTCTTCTTCTTCTTCTTCTT